ACAGGTGATAAAGAGTGGCAGGCCTGAAGACTCGTACACATACAGGGAAGCGAAATAACCTGCCGTGCGATACCTTACATGTCTTTCTAGTCACACGAGACTCTCGCTCGACAAAGCATACCTCTCCTGTGTGTCACTGTGTCCCCAAAAGCACCTGTCTTTAAATATCACATACTCAGGTTGATTGGGCACAACCTTTCGGGGATTTTAGGGCAACGTCACACATAAACATTAGCAAATGGTCGGATGGTTTTTACCCAGAAGCTGAAGCTTTTTCAGGGTGTGTACTTTCTTTCCCGAGTCGATGGTTTAAGGATAGGGGGAGTCGTATGTTGCAGATTGTAAAGCTCTTTCAGGCAAATTTGTTATTTGGGCTATAATAAAACTGACTTGACTAGGTCAATACTACATTTCTGTGTGGAGGAAACTATGTAAATAGGAAATAGTCTGACAGTTATCAGGACATTTTTCTGTGAGATATGAATCCCCTCTTAGCATCATTTTAACACTTTACTCATTACAGCTTTTGTATTCAATTAGTATACTACATTAAGTGTATGATACTTTAAGAATCTGTGTAGTGGTAAATAAAAAAAGAAGTAATCACTATGGGAACTGACCACAAAGGGAAAAAAAGTTATGTTTTATTTAATTAATTTCATTGTATTATGCTTTCTACATATGTATATCCTAAATATCAGCACAAGTAAAAGGCTGATATGAGTTGTGGACCCACTACCACATGTTAAACTCAAATAACATGTGATTAATGTTTATTCTTGAAAAGGTCTTCACCGGGTCACAGAGTGACCACAAAAACAGAACAACACCTGTACAATGGAATTTAATATACAGCTCTACAATCATGAGACTTTCAGTTTATTTTTAGACTATTACTTCAGTTGTTTTTGTATTACTCTTTACTTTATGGTGGGCTGTATGTACCTGTGTTGCTGTTGTATTGGTAAAATAAAATTAAAAAAGTAAAATTCTTATTTGGTTGAAGGAGGGCAAATATTAGAATCCAATACAACATCAGCACAAACTGAAGCATAAAGATATTACCATAGGCAGGATCAATAAAATGTTTCAATAGAAAGGAAAATAAGTGAATTGTACAGGATTACAGTGTATGGGGATTTCTATGTTTCTTCAATCTGTGTGGAAATCTATATGAAGGTGGCACAACAACCAAAAGACAAAAACAAGTGTGAATTTTGATAAAAGGAAACATCTGGATGACTCATTGATTAGTCAGGTGACAGATAATGAATCAGCACCGGACACAATTTTTGATAATGATTATTATTATTTGATTCATTTTTTTTAAAGCCCAAATCAACTTAGATTTTTCACCATTCTCCGACCTTTATAGACCAAAAACACCAACACATCTCATAATCTTTCATCAGATTAACATACATGGACAATAATATTAGTTTCTATGTAAGGCAGCACAATAAGGTTCAATGTCCCGTTTGGATCTCGTCAAATATGAAGACAAACCCAGTATTACCCCGGGTAGGATTTTATATTTGGCACACAAGACTCAGTTTTTACACACATTCAAGACATCTTCACAACACTGACACCATCTCCACACACACACAAAGATACACAGACACAGTCTTATTGAGCCTGAATGTATCACAGGGGGTTAGAAGCCCTTTGTTTGGTAGAAAATGTGCAGCTCTAACACGGTGCAGCTGTTGGTTTCACATGACGTGGAGATCAACAGACAACAATGTGTCGCTGGTACAGTGCGGCCGTCTGTCACACAACGATGATGTAAAACACCCTGACAGGATACTCACCATCCGGCTGCCGAGGTATTTCTCTACTTCGGATAAACTTCGCACGGACACGTTGGCGCTGGGCATAGTAATCCCGTGTTTGTGCTGGTGGTTTTCTTCAGTTCAGGACCGGGACTACTTTACAACTCAAACCCTAATCTCGTATCCATGTTTAACCCCCGTTTTATCCCCCTCTCTCTCTTTCTCTCTCTCTCTCACTCACTCACACACACACACACACTGACACACACTCACACACACACACACTGGCTGCTCTCTTCAACGTACAAAAATGTGTGAAGCCCAAACTCCGCCTCTTTCTGTCTGCAGGACTCTCCGGCTGAGAGAGGAGGGGTTAACTCTTTCAACACAGGGCAACAACATCAGTTAGTCTGCGATCAACAGGAATTTATTGAGTGATTATACATCGCCACAATATGCCCATAATGGGTTTAAAGTCTGGTTTTATGGTGTCTGAAATATTGTGCTTTAAACCACATTTAAATTCCATCCAAGCAACAATGCAAAGTATGTTGCAACACCATATAAAATGCAGGATTTCAAACATTTTTCATCATATTGTTAACTGACCAGAGGTGGAGGAAGTACTCTTGAGTTCTCAGTTTTATGGTAGGCTGTATGTAGCTGTGCTGCTGTTGTATTGGAAGTAAAATGATTCTATCTTATTTGGTTGGAGGAGAGCAAATATTAGAAACACCTACAATCCAATACAACATCAGCACAACCTACAGCTTAAATATATTACCATATGCATGATCATTCAAATCATCATCTGGTTTTATAGTGCTTCAAACCACATTTAAATTCCATCAAAGCAACAATTCAAAGTTTGTTGCAATACCATATAAAATGCAGGATTGATGTATATTAGATATTGTTTACTTACCAGAGGTGGAAGAAGTACTCTGATCTTTTACTTAAGTCAAAATAATAATGCAAAAGTTCTCACTTATCTGAAAAATGTAAGTAAACGTGCTATTACTGGTATTACTAACATGTAGCTGATCAAGTGTTTTATACACTGTTGGGCAGTTAATGTGTGATATTTTAGTTGTTGATTACATGTTAAATCTAGAAATTAGTTCCTAGCCATCAAATAAGTGTAGTGGAGTAAAAAGTACAATATGTTTGAAATGTGGAGGACTCAAAATATACAGTGGCATAAGGTGGAAATACCCAGGTACCTCAAACATGTACTTATATTGTAATTGTAGTTCTTGAGTAAATGTGCTTAGTTGTTTTCCACCAAATTCACTTTTTATACACTTATTTCATGGAAATGAGAGGAAATACAAAGTCACATGCCACATGAATTGTCAACAAAAGTACTTACAGTTTATTATAAGTTCTTAAATTCAGACATTTGGTATTTTGGTAGAAGTCAAATATTTACCTGAAATTATCCTAAAAATGTAATGTGGAATAACATTGTTTTTAACTGATAGTTTTCATGACAAATATATTATATATATATATATATATATATATATATATATATATATATATATATATTAGGAAACATAGCTTCAGCCTACACCTTTTTAGTTTATAAATGTTGTGTTATTGGGTGGTATTGTGTTCTACAGTGTTGTAAAGTAAATGTTTGTTGTTTTTTGTTTACTCACAAATTCTTGACTTTATATAAATTATATTTATATATATGATCATCTCCTATAAAAACACAGCAGTAATTTTTCTGGATTTTATTTATTTTTTATCTTTAGAACTATTAAAGCTATATCTGTAACTAAAGTTAATATAAAAGAGTCTCGTTGTTCTAATAAAAACCAGTCTAGCCACCTTGTTTTGCAGCACGTTCAGCAATTTCGCTCAAGCAGTCAAATCCAAAGCCCCAAGGGTCCATGGGAACAATCCAACTGGCCCTTTCACTCACATTCATTCAGCTTGGAACGAGCTAATCCACCTAGCTGTGAACACAAAAGCCTGTGTTGCATCACAAATCGCTTAACCTTTACAGTTACAGACAATAAGTGTTTGTTATGCAGTCTGTACACACAGACATCAAGAGAATCCTCTTTTGTTTTTACAGACCATACAGTTGAGTAAACCATACACTGACCTAAACTGTGGTTTAAAGAGGGGAAGGTCAAGTTGCGTAGTGATGTGATCGGCCTGTTGGAGAATCACATGAAGAAGCTACTGGAAACACCCGACAATGGACTTCTAAAAACAGCAGCAGACAATATCATTCATCTGTTCATCAAGTTTTAATGCTCCTATCAGTGTCTTTAATAAGCTGGACACATTCACTGGGTAACTACAGTGAAAGGAAGCTCGCAGTGGCTGTCCTCGGTTTACCCCTATCTGCAGAGCACTAATGAAAAATTGATTGGCTAATAACACACACTGAAAGTCTAGCCCCTTGCTGAGCACCCTGCAACATCTTCCACCTTCACGTTACTTGACACGAAACGCAACAATAAGTCACAGGGGTAGGATACAGATTTAGCATTATTAATTCAGAAGGAACATGTAAACAATCTGCTGTGTTTATAGCAGTTCCAAGAAGCGCGGTTACTGAGCTTTCTTGATGCGTTCTTTAAACTACAAGATCTATTGCAGGTTTTACCCTGCCATGTTGTCCAGATAACCGCTTCTACACATTCCCAAAGTGGGCTGATAAGGTGAAATGAGGCAAAAGGTATGTTTACAAGACTCCAGTGCTCACCCCAAAATCAAACGTTTGTGTGTATGGAGTCAGTTTCAATGGTACTACTCTCTCTCTTTGACTGGTTAAAGGTTGATTAGCTTACTGTACTTGTCAGCTAAAGAATGTTTGTCCCCTGATGCATGCATGACAAAAGTACTGCTGCCTTTTTAAGAGGCGCAGTTAAGCAGACCTTATACAGGCACCGCTGCAGAAAATACTCTCTCTCTCTCTCTCTCTCTCTCTCCGTCCACACAGGAAGCCTATCATAATTCGGAGTGCAGTCTTCGCAATATATTCGATAATGACTAAATATGGGCCCAACACAACATATTTCAGACTGTCAGGTAATCCAGCTGCTTTCCTAAGTAACACAAAAACAATATTGTGTTAAGATGCACAATGAGCCTGAAAAGCTACTCTAAACGTTAGCGCTACACTAGCAAGCAGCTTCCTCTATTCCTACTTTGATACTCAATCAAAATTAAAGCTCAGCTGTATAAATAATAAGAGAAACATGACTGAAGGGTGTTTTTATTTTCAAAGGACTTGACCATCATTTGCATCCACATTAATTTGTCCAAAATACTGAACCCTTTAATTACCAAGTGCTGCCCATTGTAGCCTTCTTGGCGCATTCTATACACAAATCTATATTTACAATTACTTCAGATCCACATGATGATGTCAAATATTTGACAAGTGTTGCTGCCTGATCCTTTGGACTGGCAAACAAATAAGAAATAAAAGGTTATAACCTTTAGCGATAACAACATCTCACGAATCATTTCACATTGACAAGTTTCTTTTCCTCATAATTATTAGAAAATAAAAAAGCATGACCATGTAGGAAAGCAGTGAAAAAACAAACCATCCTGATTCCTTCAAAGTACAAACAATGTCTGCAGAAAAAGGAAAGGCCTGGAGGCAATGAAGCATAAAATACTATGTACAATAAAAAGCGCAATCTACTATGCAGGTTTCAAGGGTTCATTCCTGAATGGGCCTGGATTTTATTAGTCCTGTTGTGCTCTACTGACTGGTTACTGAGGATTCAGAAGCAGGAGCAAGGTAAGAGTGAAAACAGAATTCCCATTGGATGCTGTGTCATAAATACAGTATGTTATGACCACTTGGTGATCGTTCTGTGGAGAACTCTGATTGGTTGGCTGTCGTGTTTTTTAACAGTCCAATGTTGCGGTTACAAATGGCACAGTGTGTCAGACCCCAGAGCCTGCCTGGCTATTATAATCGGTGGACTCCATTTTGAGGATGTATGGGATGATGCTGTCGATCTGCACGTTGCCGATGAGCCCGGCAAAAAACAGCTCCTCTGTGACAGCTGCACTTATCAGCCTGAGGGCAGGAAGACGCAGCAGCAGCCTGGATAACCTGAGAGCAATGAGGGGGGGAAAGGAGACATACACTTTCAAGATGTGTACAGTTACTGTAGGATGTACATCTATGGAATCGTCATCAATCTGTCTTAGGGAGCAATTCAGTACATCATCACCTTTCTGTCAATGAGCTGGCTTTATGTAGTACAGAGGTAAAACCTACTGACCGATAAGAGTCTTCTGGGTAGGTCCTGGTTACGTAGTCCTGCAGCTCCATGTAGGCCTTCTCTTGAAACCGCTCTATCTGTGGGGTATTATCGATGCCTGGGTGATCTGTTACAAAAACAACACATGTACACAGTCAGACATCAGTCTTTGCCCCTGTGTAAAAACTTTTTCTCTAAGGATTCTTTCACAACAGGAAGAAAAAGACCTTGAAAAATGCAATTTTCATTTTATAAACTGGCCAGCTGCGTACGCACCAGGACTAAAGAGAACGATGGCTTTGAGGTAGGCATATTCGTAAGAGTCTGGGGACAGCTTGATCATGCTGTTACAGAACTCCTGCATCCTCCAGATGTGCTCCATTACTAGTTTTACTCGCTCAGGGGACAGCTTATCTGTGAGAGACAAAAAAACACAAGCTTAGAGTGAAGGATGTAAGGGGCCAAGCATCAGTACAGTGTTTAGCAGACTGTGCTACAACAGTAAACAGATCTTAAGGTTTGCATGACACAGCTTGTTTTCTCCTCGGCATCACACTGAAAAACATTGTTTGGGCTTCTTTGTATTGTATCCAAGCCTTGAACCTCACAGGCAAACAACAGAAGAGCTCTCCTACCTTCCTGTAAGCTGGTCTGCAGATGGCTGATAATGGCACTTAGGATGGTACCAACATTCATAACGTTGGAGCACTGTGCCAGACCCAGGGCAAACAGTTCATTCCAGCAGGCTTTCATTAAGTTAATGTCATTGTCTTGACCACTGTAAAATAAAATAAGATTCATTTAAATTCACTACAGAGAACTATAGGACCACATAAAGACAAACATCACCTAACTTTTGTTTTATAACTGACATGAAATGACACAGTGCAATAGGTGTATTTGTGAAACAATGAAAAACCTTGTGACAACGGCTTACCCAAGAGTTTGAAAGGCAGGAATAGAGCGTGCCCAGTGCATAGAGAGAAAAAGTAGCCGGGAAGCTGACTCACAGATGTAGTTGACATTGAGGTACTCTGGCACAGGCAAAGGCATCATAAGCTGGAAGAACACATTGTAGAGTGGAGAGAGAAAACATGACTGCAGTGTTTATCAGAAAAAACATGTAACTTAATTGAACATAACCAGGGGTTTTGGTCATCCTGAGGGTCAAGGTCAGTGGTAACTTTTTACCTTGAAAGGGATATGGCTGTCAGAGAGTAGAGGTCCTTCTAACTCGACCACAGGACCTGATTGGTCCCCTGACATCAGCTGCATTGTGGCTTCCAAGGACTCTCCTGCTGAACCGTCACCAGGGTGCAGGACCTTGGCCAGGGTGTCAAAAGCTCTAATTGTACAAATAAAATGAACACAAGTTCACATTAAAAAGTTTTGATTTAGACGTCTCATATATTGCAGCTTACACAGAAACAGAAAATTCTGGATACACCTCAAAGCACTGCAGTGCAGCATGGACATATGGTGCATTTTGACTGACTATGAGTTAATCTAATTAAGTCCTAAAGAGCCGAGTCAGAAACCACATGGCCCTACAGGAAATTCTATTAAATCTTTGTGACAACCAGAGAGAAACAGCCCCTGGGTTCCTTTCTAATGATCCTGTAGATCTGCAGTATATGTATCAACTTATTCAGAAACAACTACCGGTCAGTATCAAAGCCTGTTGATTCTTTACGACATCTCCCTCACCGAGTGATATCACTTGCAGTTTGCTCATCTCCTTGGATGTCTGTCATGGAGCTGTCCCCGTTGCTAAGCGTTTCAACTCCCATCAGGTCATTGCCACTGTCACTTGCCTCCCTGGTCTTGTTGAGGTGGGCGAGGGATGTCACTACATTTGCCAGCGTGCCGAGGTCACCTTGAGATAGATCATCCTGCTGAACGGGTAACAGTCATCATCAAGCTTGTTTCATAAACACTGAAGTTTGAATTTGTTTGTACTACACTGTCTCTGGTTAGTGAAATGTTTGTGCTTATCGCTGAACTATTTCTATAAAGAATAACAAGGACAGAACTGGTCTGTGTCACATATTGTCAATATAATGTAAATAAACCCCCAATATTCCCACAGGCTTTACTATTTAAGATTTGAATAGGCAGGAATGACATGACAGTCTTTAGCTGAATGTAGTGTAGTTAGTATGTGTAGTTAAATGTCATGTTAAATCTCATTTGACTGCATCAGTATTACCTTGTCCGGGGATGCTGGAATCAAGATGGTGTTTTCCAGCTTGGGGAAGGGTTGTTGGATGTTGAGCAACATGCTTGACTCAAGCAAACTTGTAGACCTGAAGTTAGAGATGTAACATTTCACTTTGCATTATGTAATATGGAACCATGCAATAAAATAGAGTCATTACATGCAAAAATTATATTAATTCCAATCCAACCCACAAAATCCCATCTTTCTTAAGCTTAGCAGATAAAGACGACATGTTGGAGAGGTGCAAATTCACTCTATGGTCATTTTAAAGGCCGTAGTTAGTGGTAGTGTTGTATTGGACTGCATTATATTGAGAGATATTTCTAGTTTAGTTATTAGAAATGTAACATATCATATAAAGATAGTGTTTGTAGCTGAGATATTTATCATTTTGTATTATGGTGTTAATGTAAAGACGCGAATAGACGCAAATGCGGCGAACACATAAAATTTGCACCATTTTTGTATTTTAAAACAACAAGCATTATTTAAATATATTTTGGGGGGGTTTTATCGCCTTTAACTGATAGTGACGGATGACCCACAGAAAAGGGCCTCAGGCTGGGCTTGAACCCATGGCCACTGCAGCAAAGACCCATGAGGTACCAGGTGAGCTACCAGAGAGCCTCAAAAACATTTTAAAAGATGTTTGCTTGTTATCTTGCGGACAGACAAAGGGATGAATTCAGGATTAATTGTAGTTATTCTGGCATCCTTTGAGATTAAAGGGCTAATATACAAAATAACCTGCAAGTAAAATCACATGAGTAAGGCATGGAGAAAATGTGCTTCGCGTTTGGTGTGAACCAACATTGGACTATACCGGTGTATCTAATAAACTGGTAAAGTCGTGTATTGTTTTTGGCTAAGTGGTTGTACCTTGCAGTTTCCTTGTCAGTTACAAAAGTAGGTGTGGCAGCTAGAGGGCTACAAAGGTTCTTGCGAATGTAGATCTTCTCAGTGGAGGCTGCACAGTTGACCGATTTCTCTCTGGTGGTCACTTCCACAGGCTTCCTCTCACACTGCACAGCTAAAGACAAAACACAGGCATCAGACCTTACTTATGCGAATCCCAAATAACATCAACAACTGTATATATGGAATAATACAGACTCTTACAATCCTGTTTCATTCCCAGAGCTATGCAGCGCTGCAGTCGACAATACTGGCAGCGGTTTCTGTGGAGCTTGTTGATGGCACACTCTCCAGAGCCCCTGCATGTGTACACTAGGTTCTTTCTAATGCTGCGTTTGAAAAAGCCCTTACAGCCCTCACAGCTGACAGCTCCGTAATGACGCCCTGAGAGAGGAAAGAGAGAAAGCATCAGGATGGGGACTGCTTGCACATGTGTGTTACTGGCAAATGATGGTAAAGCAAATTAACACTTTCTACCTGAGGCCTTATCCCCACAGACAACACAGTACTCCACAACTGGCTTCACAATAGACTGGTCTGACCCTTCAGTCACAAACTGAAATAAAAAAAAACAGAGACAATGGAGTAATTTAATACAGCAAATATTGCTATAAGTCTGCCTAAACATGTTCATGCTACAGTCATAAGACCTTTCAGTAACTTGTTACTTGTCACCAATATCCTCATCCGCAATACCTGAATCTGCTGCCCAGCCAGTTCAGGGGAGGCAAACAGCAGCTGGTTAACCCCAGAGCCATCTGGAGACGTGAGGATCACCTTATTGGGTGAGCCTTCCTGCTTAGTCAGGATCACCTTCCCACCAGAGGAATAATCAGCGTTTGCGAGAATAAACTGCTGCTTTCCCGGGGAAGATGGCTCAAGTGCTGTGACGATCTGGATCTTCTGACCAGTCTGCTGATCCGTTACAATCTATCAGAAAAAATAAATAAATCAAATCAAAAGATGGAATAGTGCGGGAGAAGTGAAGCTACTGATATGATAACAAGGTACGTACGTGAGTAAGTAAATGAGGACCAAGTTGAATTGCACAAATATGTGACTTTTACTGTTAGCTATGCTTGGAACTATTTTTGCCACAATTATGTGTGTAAGAGTGTGAGAATAACAGTCTCTAGTGGTAGACTGGCAGTCACATCACCTGAATTCGGTGTCCTAATGCCATGCTGCTGTCTGCTGACACAAGTTGAATCCTTTGCGTCTGTCCATCCATTCTGATACTGCACGCACCTTCTTCCACTGCTCTTCACATCAGTGCCCCATGAGGCTCACACACCTGCAAAAAGAGCATGTTTTTTGTTTTTTATTAAAGCAAATTATACTTTATTCTATACTTTTCGTACTGTCCTAATACTTCTCAGTACTTTGCAACTTCCCTACCCTGTAAAGTCACTAAAAATGTCCAAAAACAGGTGGGGACAGAGGTCTTTACCATACAACAGCAGTAAACAGTACTTTTGTTAGGGACTATTTTTAAGCAGATTTTTACCCGTGAGGTGCATTTGAAGGTATTAACAGCCAATTGTGTATGTGGGATTGATTCAAAATAGACTAGAGTGCCCAGTTCAATGCTATACCAATACTTGTTAATAGGATAACTTAGCGGTTTTTGGTCGTTTCATTGGCCAAAAGACAAATATCAAATATCACAAGCCTTATCTGTTCATATGTGTTTCAGGTCGGGGCATAATTAAAATCCTATAAAACTTTTACCTCATGTGTAAATAGCATTTACTGATGTGTGTGGCGGGAACCAGAACTCAAATCATTTCCAATATACAATACCACAGCTCAGAGCTGTTATTAAGATAACCACTAAGAGCGAATAAGTCTTACAAACACTTAACTGTTACTCGTATCCCTCTCGTCCTGTTTATATTCATTTACCTCTCCCTTATAGCTAGAAGATATATCTGAGCACAGCTTGATCGATACTTATAAACAATGTTAAAAGCAAACCACATCAGAATGAGCCGTGAAGAACGAGTGAAAGAGTAAAACACAAACATCTGATTTATTACAGTATGTCACTTTCTAATGTCAGTCCGTGGCCTGTGCTACGGAATCTAGCGTTAGCCGGCGCTAGCGTGTAACTGTACAATTGGTGGCCTTATAATATACAGCTTAAAATCACTTTATAGTGACGACTAATGAGCGGCAAAGCTGTGCTAGTGACACAAAACAAGCTCCCGACAGCCAGCTATTTAAAATCGATACGGAAGATAAAGGTATTTCTTTTCCTGTGGGTGAAAGGTCAACATTGAAGGGTTAAAGCACGCTAGGGTTCAAGGCCCATGATGCCGAATCGCAGAGTCAACCGCGGGACTTCGGTTTTGACAACTAGGCAAACAAAAATGGCATTAATCGTATCCCTGGACCTCCACAGCCGCCCAGGTTTTTGGCAAGATAGCTCACGATTCAACACCACGACCCGCCGCTGTCACATTCAGGCTTTAAACACCGATGTGGCTGCTTAGTTGAACGAAGACCCGAGTTAGCAACGCTAGCACGGCAGCTAACACCAGCTAACGGTAACACGGTTAGCTGCAGCGGCTAAGCTTGTTGGCTAACTAGCATGCCCGTTAACATCGTTACAGCTACACACACACACACACACACACACACACACACACACACACACACACACACGACGTTAGTGGAAGACCCAGCTGTGCAGTCGCATACACACACCAACATCATTACATACTTGCGAATATGCTTCTTTTTTTTTGTTGTTGTTGTTGTTGTTATTTTTAAACGCGCTGTTCTCCGGATGACAGTGCTAACGAGCTAGGTTAGCTGTTTGCTAGCTGGTGGCTAATGGCTGCCTCCCCGCTGTAGAGACACTGAACACACCCTCTCTTCCTGTGCTACTGGCCCCTCGTGTCTCTTTCACCAACCTCTCATGCGTCAACATGGGTAAATATTCCTTACCTGGCAAGCGGCGGTTGGGTCAGATGATTTATAGTCTTCAATAAATTAATATTTTAGTTGTTTGCTGCAGTTGGTGGGAGGGTCAGAGTTCGTGACCTTTTTTTTCATCAATAAACTACTTTTGCACATGCGCAGTTGGGTTCCCGCGGCTCATAGCCTTCCCCAGTGAGTGTATGTTAAACCTGTCAAAATGTACATCAGTTTATGGTCACAGCAGTAATGATATACCTGTGGGAATCAGTACGATACCACACTATTTTACTTAGTGACTTTTTAGAGAGGATGGGCTGTTGCATCATATTGGGAATACAGAAAACCAATATCACAGTCCAGGCTTCATTGTTTAAAGTTGATAATATAGTGAACAATGCCAAATCTACATACTGCTGTTCACTGTACACTCAAATCTGCACAGTTGTATAATTCCTGCACAGTAACTAACCGTAACCACATCCAGTAGTGCCTCATTACAATGAGTATTTATGTATTACCCCATTCGCTGACTGCTTTTCCAACATTTGAATGCACAGTCAAATAATGGTTCCCTCTTTGTTTAGGTCAGTGGTTTCCAACCTTTTCCATTATGTATTATTCATAATATATTCAATGCATGTACGAAAGTGGTACAGTAAATGCAACAACTGCAGATTTGTGTAAAATGGGCAATTTGGAAGAAATTTGAGCAGATTATTTCCTGTGAATCAGAAATTAGTTTTCCTCATAATTGTAGGAAACATTTGTACACAGTTCGCACACAGCTTGTATTATGAATAAATCTGTTTTAATTTTAACAATCATCATCACAATAATAGTCTTTATTTTGACAAATTCTGTGTGTTTCTTCTCCCTGACGCTTGGCCATTGATCTATTAGCTCTTTGATTTTAATTGCTTAACTTTTCTAATGCACCCCTTAAAATCCAGAAGGCCTTGTGACACCCCCCCCCCCGAAACTTTGGCGACCCCTAGTGGGGGTCCCAACCCCCAGATTGGGAACCACTAATAAAAGGTGATCATGACTCAAAGCACAGTAAAAACAAAAATTTATTTCAGTGACAGAATTTAAACAGTAAAAGTGAGATTTAATACAATTAATTTACAATCCTCTATATTTAAAGAGGCTATCTGTGTAGGGACATTATCTATGTACAGCCATTTGAGTCACTTAAGTGCAATACACATTATGGTACAGTTGTGTTCAAACAGTGAATATTCCTGATACAAAATTAAGACTGTAGGTTAGTTTCAAAGCTACAGAAAGGTTTAATAATGTAAGGTGTTTCCTACACAAGCATGATAAGTGCACATTGTGTGTTCTTTAGTTAACTTCACAAGTGTGAAATAAAGTAATCCAGAAACATCTATATGATTTGTTTTGACCAGGAAAAGTTATTCGGTAAATGTGGATCAAAATGTTATGACAGTATTCATTACAAATCTACCAACATTGGGCTTTTATTAATGTATCTGTGCAGATTACTAAAACTGTAATAAACAAAAGTACCAGTCTAAAATAGCTACAGATGATTGTGGTACGATTCTTAATTTGTAGCTGCGTGAATCAAAAATCCAAAATAACACGGGTAATTCCCACCTCCACAGGAGTGCTCTTAAAATAATGTAAAAGGTAACTAAATGACGGAAGCAAGAAAATACATTTGGATTTTATGTCAGTGCAACTAATGTGGTGTCTCCAGATGCTTTTTGTAGCATTCATAGAGCACTGAGGTAAAACATATTTATACGCAAGGGCACAGCTACACACACTGTCGACGGATATTAAAGCACCGTGGCTTCCTTGAATGAGTCGATCCATCTGTTAAAAAAAAGAAAAGATAATTAATAATCGCTGTCATGATAACATGCAACAATAAGTGACTCCCCTCTTTATACTGTACCTCTGTGCTGTTTGGACATCATCAGCTTTAAAAATGTAGTAAAGCGTGTTTTTGTGGTAAAGTTTAAACTGTAACTTTTGTGATGAATCCACTTTCAACATAAACCCTAACAGGGGCTGACTTTCTAGGGCTGCAACATCCTGCATCAAGACACAATAAAAGATCGATGTTAGATGGACATGAAATCAATTCCCTTTGGTTCAATTATAACATGACATTGGGCTTTCATTGATTTGAAAGAGACCTTACCTCACTTGCAGCATACGTGTACAGGACTTTGTCTTTGATGACGAACCACAGCCTCTTCCCCTGCTTCTTATTGCCCTTTGACCTCTGCAGATACCCACTCATGGAGGAGTCTGTGTTTGCTGACACCTGGAACAAGTAAGGAAGTAAAAACCCATCTGATGAGATATCAGGTCACTCATTCATCACTAGCAGTGCCATCTTAATCAGGACAAAGCACCAGTCACCTCTTTGAGGGCTGCAGGTATTTTCTTCTGCCTCCTGGAGAAAGCAAAGGTAGCTCTGTTCCCAGGGGAGATAGTTGCTGATAGGGCTCGCTCACCTGATGAGCAGAAATGAGGAATACGCAGTTGTTTAATATAGAGAAATGCATACTGTAGAATACAAGGCGTGCCTGTGTCTAATCCACACTGTTTCAGCCTTAGACAACATAAAAATATGAGGATGAGATTCATTTGGTTTGGTTCAGAATGCAAACAATGTTGGACAAAAGCCAGACTTACTTTTTTGCTGCTGAAGAACAACAAAACACTGGTCACACACTCGTGCTAGCTGGTTCTTTAGGTATTCAAGACAGTATTCTTGGGAGGAACAAGACTGACACACCACCTGATGGGACGATAAAGCAAAAAGTGTTATTTCCTTCCCTTATTTTACCACAGCAATGGTTTTAATCATTAAATAAGCCTTTTGCAGCTTGCATCTGTCACTTTACCTTTCCACATGCACGGCAGTGATGTCGCCTCCATGTTAAGGTGAACTCACAGGCGCAGATCATACACATGGTGGTCCGTGGGTCAGGGATCCAAATAGGGGCTTTGGATCCCAAAGGGGCACCATCATCACAATCGCTCAGCTCTACCTGAATATAAAAAGGAAACAGGAGTTAAGCCTCTTTGTTCATACACTATAAAATAGACTTTTTCTGTCACTGTAACACAGATATACTGCTAACAGGAAACGTATGTAAGGTCACTTTTAAAAATATCTTACCTCTTCTAGCGACTTGCCAGTTATAAAACTGATCTTCTTCCTGGTGTAGTCACTGATCGCCTTAGAAATGGTCTCGAGCCATTCATCTCGCTCTGTGGCTGAACTGCAGAGGGAAAAAAGTAACAACACACTTACACAGTATTCACAGACCTATGCAGTACTTGAAAAAAACACAAGATTACTCATGAAATGATGTTTGATAATAACATATTCTTAAATTACCAAGAGATATCTTTTGTTTCTGATAATTACCTCGCAGAGAGAGTGAAGGAGCGCTCCACGCTCTCAATGTTCAGCTCATTCTGATAGGCCTCTTGGCTTGGTTTGCTAACCTGTAATTATTTTCATTGTGAGCAGTGATAGCAGCGTATAACATATTATGTGATCATATATATATATATATATAAGATAAAGACCACAAGAAAATAAAACTGAAGTCTCACCTTCATCCCAGCCAGAGATAACATGTTTTTTAACTTGAACTGGCCTGACTGAACAGGAGTGGTGTAAAGCAACGTGTCGTTAAACTAAAGGAGAAACGACAAAGAAACACAATTTCATGTATGTTGTTTAACACACTACAGAGGAGCTCAGAGTAAGATCAAGACAATAACAAATTGATTTCAAGATATTTTTTGGTTTCAATAGCCTATATAATGCTTTGATGAACGTCTTTAGCTTCCTTTTACAGCAGCGTAAGAACACAGTAGTTCTATTAGATACAATAATGTATGACTATATAATGCCTGTCTTAGAAAAGGACACCAGAATTAGGATCTCTGAGACTGAGGCATCTGATCACAATCAACGCTTCACAGAACATATTTTGGACTTATTGAAGATAGGAGAGTGTGAAATGGGAGAAGGAAGAGACAGGTATTACTGTACCAGGAAGAACTTTCTGGGCTGCATGACCTTCCTGGACAACTTCTTCAGAATTCCTTCTTTCAGGAAGATCTGGAGTATAAAATGTCATAAGAGCATATGAAGTCATGTTTGCTGTTTTGCTTTTTTGATTTAATGAGTCTTGAACTTAAAAATTCTGCAAATACTTCACATTTAAAAGATCAATACGAAATAAAAAACACAAAAGAACTCTAAGCAAAATCTTTATGGCCTTACCCGCCCAGGTTGGACTATCTCATGGTGGCCGTTCAGACTGCACTGCACCTGCATCAGCTTCTGGAAGTTATCCTGAGAGGGAAATAAAGTGGACATCAGTAATGTGCAGAGATGTGCATCAGAATAGATGCCTGATTCCTTGCTGACTCTCACCCCTTGCTTCATGATGTCGTTGGCATGATTGGCTACCTCTTTCACAATTGCAAGGGCAGCTGAGTGGATAAAAAGGTGTACATCAAATATGTGTCAGACATTGTTTTCATTCCACTGACAGTCAAGTGAGTTAACAGTATATAGATATAGAAAGACCCTTGGTTTACCTTGTGTGTCCTTGTAATCGTTTGAGTCTTCAGTCAGGTTTTTCAGATAGTCTGAAACACAATTACAAACATTGAACGCTCAGGATCCACAGTCCAACTAAACAAGTGAAAACCATTCTGTACACTGGTGTACAAAAGCTTAATGTTGTGCTGTAAATT